GAACATATTTTCAATGTAAGAATGATAAAATGATGAATTTTTGACAATTAATCTTATTCTCAATTCTCTATCTATAAAAAGCCTTTGAGTCAAAGAATCAACTGTTGCAAAAAAAAACATATTTTCAATGTAAGAATGATAAAATGATGAATTTTTGACAATTAATCTTATTCTCAATTCTCTATCTATAAAAAGCCTTTGAGTCAAAGAATCAACTGTTGCAAAAAAAACAAACACCCACCCATACATATAACTTTATAGAAATAAAAAATAGCACTTCAGATAATCAGGGTCATACTAGATGAGACACTGGGCATTTTGCATTTGGTGCTCCCAACACTGCCTGTTACACAGGGTTACTTCAGTCTAAATCCACTGAAGTTAGTCTGCTTAGACTCTGCACAGAGTAACTCTGCACCACAACAGTCCCTTCTTAGTAAACAGCTTTATAAAAAGTACCCTGACTCCTCCATTTTCCTGACCTGAAATCATCCTGTAGAATTATTGTGAGTTAAGTCTAGAAGGCAGTAGCTCAGCTTTTCTTATATCTCAAACCTTCTTCTACATCATCACAAAAATACTCATACGACACAAATCCATATCCTATGATCCTATGATATCTACACTGTGAGGCTGGCAAGGCTTTGAGATAAGATGCATGAGAAAAGATCTTTGCCAGGCAATCAAAAAAATCAGTCAACAATCCACAAGTCAATGCACTAATCTCCTACAGTTGTAGCAAAGTGGATCCTTACATTATAAGGATAGCCTATAACATTTAGGTCCCAAGGCCAAAAATCTGAATGGCATCTCCTGCAGCTTAATAAATCAAATAAATAATGGCTGTCCTTTCATGGAGTGGGGGAATAATACCATTGATAAACAGAGCTGCTGCCAACTAAGGGGGGGGGATCCATCCTCTTGTGACTTTAACAGAAACTTGAGCTCAAGGACCTTTCCACAACATGGATATGAGTATTAAGTCACTACAGATCAAAAAGATGTTCAAAGCCTAACTAAATTCCAGGTTCAAAATTACTAAACACAGCTGTACAAAGATCCTAACGGGAGTTATTCATTCAATAAGCAGTGTATTAACTTTTCTAAAACTATTTTTAAAAGGTTATCTAAATATGATATACACTATATTCTCCTGTGCAATGAAAATGCTCTTCCCAAGTGTACATTAATAGGATTCCATGGTTAGATTTTCACTACTGTTTAGGAGATATAAAGAAGTATCAGTAAGAGAAATGATTTAAATAAATTATCTCATGGTCTTTTTCTTAATGATTTAAAGCACCTTGGTTTTAATAATTTCCTATAAATAGATATAGTTGGAACTGGATGGAGAATTATAAGGTGATGGGTTTAGATAGTAACAAGAGTTAGATATTCATTTTTAGATGGTAACAAGAGTTAGAAGCTTATTTTAGGTAGCAGAACCACCTCATCGGCACCATTATTATTAGGCTTATCCATTAATATTTGCAGTCACCTCAAGAAACACAGGAAACACAGGACAGATAGGAAGTTCAGGTACATGCTGAAGACACTTTGTCTCCTCAGTCACATGTAGTATACAAAGATCTGCCTCAAAAAGAGGCAGGAAATATGAACTGCCATTGTAGTCAACATCTCAGAAGACTCCAGTTCTCCTGCAAAACAAAATCCATTTTGTTTTTTATTTAAGCTAGATATCAATGAAGAAGTCATAGTGGTTTCAGTTTCAATGCCCACAACCAAGCCAGTTAGTAGATTCTGTATAATATATAATATAATAGATTCATTGCAATAATTTCAATAAAAACATTTCAATAATGATACTCACTAAGCAATTATTAAATCAAAGAACTCAGAAAAACAATCATTTAAATAGCCATGACATTCAGAACTGTCTGTCCTGAGATTTTATGTATTATGTACTATTATCCAGAACCAATGAAGACATTGTGTCATGAGTCAGCCAGGGCTCAGCGATAGTGTGGACTCCTCAGGAGAAGAGGAGCCCTGTGTAGCCAGCGTGGAGTCAACAGAAGTTGACCAGAAGGAAAATGAGCTTCAGGCTTGTCAAGATTCACAGCCAACAGCTGGTGCAGAGCCACCAACACCCTCCAGCCCTGATTTAGCAGGTGAACCTCAGTTGGCCATTCCCAGCCCACCAGTATCACCTACACCCTTAGAGCGCCACAGACAGAGGCTGAGAACAAAACTACAAAGAGCACACCTCCTGGCCCGACACCAGCTGCTTCCTGATAACAAAGATGTGTAGTTGCAGGATTGCTTCTTAGCAACTGGTTGCAAGCATGACCCTTAGGTGTGGGGCTATAAGAGAGGCTGTTAGGCATGAATGCAACACGTATGGTAGACACTAAGCCACCAACTCTGCCTTGCCTGATTTCTGGGCCTCTGACTTTGGACTGAATGATTCTACTTTGCCTGACTTCTGGCACCTGATACTCAAAAGTAAACTTTTTTGAGGTTTCCAGTGAGGATTTGTGGCAGGCTGACATCGCCAAAGAAGCGGAGAAACATTGCAGTCAGAAACACTGGCAGGGAAGAAGCCTTCCAGCTGGCGAAATCTCCCTGAATTAAAGGGAGATCATGAGATAATCAACCTGCACTCCTGGTTGATGAGCCTCCTGAGTAAATGGCTCCTGAGTTGGGCAACCTGGAGTCCTGGGATTTCATCCAGCTGTGATGTAGCTTTTAAATGGACACTAAGCCTGGCCACCCTCATTTCTTAAGGATTTATGGACATAATTACTTCATGGACAAAGAGAGGTTTTCTCTGAGACAAAGATGAGACTTCTTATGGTGAGATGAGCCTTTTTTCGGGATTATAAAAACAAAAAGTTATCTGAAGGGTTTATTGTCTCAAGAACGTTTGGCAAAAAGCTTAATAAAGAGGAAATATAAGGAAGTTTTGAAATGGAAAAGGGGACGACTATTTCTCCAATTTCTTATTTTTTATTTTATTTTTGACAAAAGTGCTTATGCGGCAAAATTACTAGCTAAAGAGACCAGACTTCTGTGAGATTTCTTTTTGTTTATTCTAAGAGATTGTATTCAAGAACCAGTTTGGTGTAATGGTTAAGAGTGCAGACTCTAATCTGGGTTAACCAGGTTTGAGTCCCCACTCCTCCACATGCAGCTGCTGGTGTGACCTTGGGTCAGTCATAAATTCTTTCAGAGCTGTTCTCTCAAGGGCAGTTCTTGAGAGAGCTCTCTCAGCCCCACCTACCTCACAGGGTGTCTGTTGTGTGGAGGAGACGGGAAAGGGATTGTAAACCCTTCTGAGACTCCTTCATGTAGTGAAGGGCAGGGTATAAATCCAATCTCTTCTTCTTCTTCAATTGGAGGACTTTATACAACAAAAGACAAGGTAGTCTCAGATTGTGACTTCTGTTGCTACGGTGATTTGATTCAACCTTGTGTAGAGTAAAAAGTGAAAGTGTTTGAATTATAAAGCCTCTAGGTCTGTAAAACCTGCTTTTGGATTTTATTCTACTAGGCAAATACCGGATTTGATTCAGAAATTATTTGAACAAATGGGAAACAAGTTGGAAGATCTTGGAGATAAGATGGAAGCTTTTGGGGGGGAGAGAATGGATGAAAGGCTTGTAAAGGTAAATGAAGAAATGACAGATGAAGTAAAAAAAATTGGAACGCTCTATAAAGCAAATATCTGGAGATGTAACATAAATCCATGACAAGGTAGAAATTTTAGATAAAACAGAAGTTATAAATAGAGAGATGGAAAGAGAATTAGACAATTTGGCTTTAATGGAACTGAGAGAAAAAGAATTTTGTCTGAGATTTAGATGTATTCCAGAGCTTTCAAATGAAGATATTAGAGAAAGGATTATTACATCTTCGGCAAATTTTTTGGATTGGGAAGAGGATGATATGGAGAAAGAAATAGACCATGTTTATAGAATAAACTCTAGGTTTGCCAGAACAAGAAATGTCCCAAGGGATATTCTGGTTCATTTTGTGAGAAAGAAGATAAGGGATCAAGTTCTCCAACAACATCTATTACAAGATTAAAAATTGGTAATATAGATATGATTGTTCAGAAAGAAATCCCTATTTGAATTTTACGAAAAAGAAATGACTATGCCTTCCTGAATGAAAAATTAAAATAGAAAAAGATTGTTTTTTGATGGGATACTCTGGGGAGGGTGATCTTTACTTTTAGGAAATAGAGGTTTAGACTGAACTCAGTTCAAAAGGCAAGAAATGTCTTAGATTTAAAAGAGATCTGGAAGAGATGCAAATGGAAAGTCCAATAGAACTCACACAAGAAGAGCAACGGGAACTGTGAAAGGAAGACACTGAACTAGGTGCTACAGGTACTAAATTATTTTTTTTAATTGACCTGATCATGGATTATAAATGTTTAACATGGAATATCAAGGGAGCAAATGCCCCTCAAAAGAGAGAAAAAAACATTTCATTATTTGAAAATGTTAAAACAGGACATTATTTGATCACAAGAGACTAGTATCAGTAAAAAAGATATAAAATATTTGATTTATAAAACTTTGGATGAAGAATTTATTTCAGCAGACATTAAAAAGATAAATGAAGTTGTTTTGTATATTATGGAGAGCTTAATAGATTTACCTTATGAAAGCTGGTGCTTGATGGGGGATTGAAATGGAGTGATCTTCCCACAAATGGACAGGACTTCTGAGAAAAATATTAAAATGCTTCAAGGTAAATTACCAAAAATTTTCCTTGATTTGATGCACAATTTGGGGTTGGTTGGTTGATTTATGGAGACAGAAAAACGGTAATTCAAGAGAATATACATATTTTTCAGAAAGACATAGATCTTTTTCCAGAATAGACATGATTTTGATGTCAAGAGATTTAGCTATTTTAAGATCTCAAAAGTAGAGAGCCTACCAAAGACCTTTACAGCATAACCCTGTGACTATGGTTTATAAAAGAAAACCCAGCACTTTTAGATGGAGATTAAATGAAGCATTGTTACAAAATGAAGCAATTGTCGAAGACTGCAAAAAGAAATCAAAATAATTTTTTGAAATTAACTTAAATAAGGTCATTGACAAACGGAACAATGGGAAAGAACTTTGTTCTTACATATGACAATGGCAGCGAGATTACTATATGCACAAAAGTGGAAGAGACCATCATTGCTTACAATAGAGGAATGGTTGGTGAAAGGTTGGTGAAAGTGCTGGAACTTGAAGAGATGGCTACACTTACTTCACTGATTGTCAATTTTCTTGAAAATCAAATGATCACATGGTGGGGTTACACAAGTAAATCAAACGGAATGAGCTTCCATCAGCCAGGGATGTATTCTTGTTGCCTTATTTAAAACAACAACTGGGATTCCCTGCCTGCTTATTTGTACTGCATTTCATTTCATTTTAAATTTAGACCACACTCCCTCAGCTGCTTATGAGATTGATTAAAATTATGAAACAAATAAAACACATCTATGATATAAAATAAGTAATAAACAACGAAGCAGCACAATAATTACATTCTCAAAAGATCAGCAAGGAACAAAATCAGCAGAAACAGCAAATATTAAAATCAAAATCACAATGTACAGCTGGTTAGGAGAAGGGAAATCAATTAAAACCATGGATTTAAATAAAGTTGAAAGTGAGCATAGTGGTGGGGAAGGTATTCCGAAGTCAAGGTGCTATCACTAATCAGACTCTGCCCATCTGGCTGGTAAGGGTTAATGAAGTGTAGTGGGTTAGACGCATACAGAACCCGCTGTTTCTGATGTAATGGTCAACATGGTTCACTGGTACACGACAAAGACAAAGAACTACTGGCCGGCTGGCCACCTATATACACATGGGGGACCCATCCCTAGTTCCTATTGGTGGGTTTGAATCTCCCGCCACTGTCCCATTGGTCCCTCCGCGGAGAGACTAGGAGCCCAGTCCCATTGTTCCTTTGGAGTCAAGCTCGGGGGGGGGGGGTAGTCACTGGCCCCTGGTGGCGGTCAGCGGACATAACAGTTAACTGTGTAGAAAAGAATCCCTCCTAAACAGCCACCAGCACTATTCCAACTTTTACAAAGTGGGTTGGGCCAGGGACACAATGGATGCAGCATCCATTCCAGCATGAATCCCCTTCAAGCCAGCAATACTCATTCAAAGGTTTCTGTGCCCGCTTGTGTATGCCTTTAGCCTGTAGCTAAATGCATGTATGAATTCTCAGTTTTCATTTCTCTCATTTGGATATTTATTATTAGGGAAAACATCCAGCACCCCATTAAGTAGTAAAATGTTCCCATCAATTAATATAAAAGCAATAGGGCAAATCCCGCAAAACCCCTTCACACATTTCAATCCACTGTCAATGCAGTTTAGTTAGTGGATTTTACCATTTCACACAGTAAGATCCAGTTGCAAAGTGCATTGA